TTATAATAATGCATTTTCTAAGATTTTCCATGACCTTTATTGCGATATTTGTACGATTAAATCTGTACGAAAGCTTTTGATCTCTCCGTCGCAGATTGAAAAATATTTATTTGATTCGTCGAGGTCGAGGAAATGTTGAGTTCACGTATTCGGTTTTTCGCTTGAATTTATTTCTCGCACAAGAACAATGCCGGTCATCAGTTTTGCTGCAGCTCGATACATCCTCGCTCGTTACTCTCCTCTCTCGAACTGACTAAACGTACGCGAAATTCAATTGCTCGCAATGCTCATGGATCATCTAAATCGATGATCGACGACGAAAAACGCAAGTCAATAAAAAGAAGACAGCCGTTAGTGTTTTTTCTTCGCGTGTTTTCGATCTCGAAAATACACATTCAAAATTATTTGAAATTCGAAGTAAAAAACAATGGAATCGAATGCTCGAAAAGCTTCGCCGAAATAATCTACCGAAATCCTGATCAATCAATTTTTCCCTTTTATTTCTTTTTTCAAAGATGTATACATAATAGTATACTTAAATAGTAAAAATTAATCATTGGTAATTCTAATATTAATAACATATATCTTCGAAATGCAATTTAATAAAATGCAATTTCTCAAATATGATAGTCAAAACGGGAGTTATGGAAATTAGATTGACGCTTTAATTCTTACAGGAACGCGTATGCTTTCTCAATTTAGTGGCGATCAATAGCGCGGATTCATTAAAGGTCCATTCCTCTATCTCTGACCGTTGAAGAAGATGGCGTAGTAGGATGGTGAGTGGTGAGAACTTATTAAAAGATAAATTTTTGGACTTATGAGAGGGATTGCAAGCCGCGAGAGCATATCGATTTGTTGCTAGATTTAGAAGTATTTGAGACGTAAAAATTATTTTCTTTCGTCCCTTTTTTTTGAGAAATAGAATTATTATTAGTAAATATTGAAATTTCATCGAGTGTCATGTTTTCTACGATGTTTCTGTACCTAGTTTCGCATTTAGCAGTATTCGTATAAAAATACGTTCAATATTTGACCGATAATTGAATTTTTTCATATCTGCGCAATCTGAATAATAAAAAGATTATCTAAAGATTCACGCGCGTACACTCGCGTACTTTATCGAATTTGCACATCTTTGGAAACGTAATTCAGTTTGCATGTATTTAATTAATTTGCACCGTGCAAACATAGCTCGGGTACTCGAGTATTACGATAACTGTCATGGATATTGAAATACGCGAAATGTTTCGTATATTAAATTCCAAGAATCAGGAATCAGCATTGTACACGTTAAGAATTTGCGGCCTGCATATAAAGCTGCATTAACCTGAAACATAGGAAAGGCATGAACGGCACAGAAAGGGATAAAAAATTACGAAGAGCCTCCTTCTTTCAGAAAATAGATTTCTTTGGGAAGAAGAAATCACCGAGATCTCTCGGCTTTAAGGAATTTCCCAAGTCACATGACCCGAAATGGATCCTCGGCGATATTCCATTCGGGAACTGTGGAACGACGATTTCAGGTCGTATGCATCCCATTAATGTCAAAGGATTTTGGATATAATATGCGACGTTGGTCCTAATATATACAAAACAGTGATTTCAATTAAATAATTTAGATTTGAGTCATCTCTTTCTTCTGCGTTCCACTTGACGTATCAACGAAAGAAGAATTTATGTTCAGGATAGATTAATTTCAAATAAAACAAAAAATAAAAATTATACATTATATATACACAACATATTTAAACGAATAATTTTTTATATAGTTTTTATACAATTAAAATTATAAAAACTGATTAATTAATTAAATATTAAATCGTGTTTAATTTCTTTTCAGAGTTGTCGGAAATCGTGTTTTTTCCAGAAATGTTTCAATTGTGTATTAGGTAGTAGTAAAATCTGTATATAATCAGACACGTTATATGTACAGTCGATTGAACAAGCAAAATGTATTTATATATATTAGTTTGTATTTTACGGAAAAATATATACATTTCCAACCAACCAATACTAGGTACATATGTAACACGTTAAATTACATTACTTTAAATACGAAAAATTCATATTAATACGGTAAAATAAAATAAAAATTTCATTAAACGTCTGTCGAATCGCTTCAGCGCGTTTCAGCATCGTCTGGAAGACTCATTGAAAAGGATTTATAAATCTATTGATGATATTATAAGAAATATTTAAATATTTAATGTGTTAGCAACATTTATTTTTCAGTTTCGTAAAAACGGGGTTTTATAAAAATCTTTTAGAACATGATTCGATTCGATAAAAACAAAAAGTAAAAAGCACTCAATAGAGTCTCAAATGACCTACTTGTATTTACCTTACTGCTCGTAATTTTTTTTATAATCAATCGACCGTGCGGCGGCGATCTCGTTACCCCTCCTTCGTCGAGGTGTCCAGACGCAGCCGTGAAAAAGGCACGTAACGTGTAAAATCGGTGGCGGGCGTCGCTCCGGAGCGGATAATGGAGCGTGACGAACCTCTGATTGCCGTTCTGAAGAGATAACGCTCGCCATTGGATGCTGATAAAAAAGTAGCAGGTGTCAACCGGCGGCGGTGGCGGCGGCCGTTGCAAAAGCAATCTAAAAATATAACGTTCACTCGCGTCGCGTTGGCGTAAAATAGCGGCTCGTTCACGCGGCATGTCCATCGATGTGACCCCGATATGTAGTCGCGATGTTCGCCGACTCTGAAAAAAAGAGCACATCGCCTTTTGTTGTCTACGATAAAGTGGCAATAAGCGACGTGAGACATTCGACGAGAGTAGATACTACTCTGAAAAACTGAACGTGTGTGATGAATACGCAATGTAAGAACGTTTTAATACCGTCTAAATGTGAAGTAAAATAAATATAGAATATATAAAATATTGTATATATATATATATTTCTTTTTATTTTGTTGCACATTTATTTAAAACTAC